GGGGGGGGGGGGGGGGAGCCAGGTGTCAAGGGGTGCAGACACTGTAGGGCATGGCACAGGGTGGGCACAGGCATCAAGCAGGAGGGACAAGTAGGGGAAGCAGGTGGCAAGGTGTGGGGGTCATGTCATCCACTTTCTCTTCTCCCCACCACCACTTGCTCTCTGCCATTGCCACCTCTCATCCTTACTTTCTTTCAGGGTCTGCCTGTCTCTGGTGACTAACTCCCCATCCCTGCTTCCTGGTCTAGTACCTCCACATCTCTGCTGACCCTTCCATGCCCTTCAATTTTCACTTGCTCCCCCACATTGCTCTCCTAAAATGTGACTGTTCTTCCCACACATATGCTACTGCTGTCTTGATGTTAGGGTGTTGAGGGGAAGGATAGGAAAAGATTATGGAAGAGTGGGAATGGGAGGGCCAGGCTGAGGCAGGGATGTGTGTAGGCCTTGAAGGGAGGAGAGGTCTTATGTTGAGACATCGCAATGGGTAGCAGGCCACGGTGCATTGTAGAGCCCAGTCCCTGAACACCAGTATATCTTTGCTCTAGGACTCCTACATTAACACTCCTGGTCATGTTGATTCTGTGCAGAGTGCAGCCAAGACAGCAGCACTGAGACAAGCTTTTCAAATACTGATGGTGTAGGGCATAAAAGGAACATGTTTCTTGCTCCAGGCCCTTCCTCTCATCCACACTCTCAAGTGTCCACAACAGATGACCTTTGTACACAAACCTTTTGTCACCCACCCCCTCCCCTTCTTCTAAACACATTCTAAACTTTACCCCTCGAGCTGCTACCAAATCCCCATTACCTCTCTTTACAAAATCTCCTGCTCTTTTTTATGATATGTTTGCATTACTGGAGCCCAAAACATGGATCAGAACCCCATTGTGCTAGGCACTGTATGTACACAGAAAATCTATCCTCAGACATCTCCAGTCCCCTTCCAGACTCCTCATACACACTATGCTCAAAAGAAGTTGTGTTTTGTTGCAACTAGTTTGCCTCTGTCCACAAATCTGAAGTAAATCAGTAAAACCCAGGCTTTGTGTCCCCAAATAAAACCATTTCCCTGAACAATACAAGCTGTCAGCTGACATTCAGTCACCACAAAATGCAAGTGTGAGCTCACTACAGATGTCACAGCAGCAGTGGGGGAAATCCCCGGGCTTCTACACATGGTGCAGTGTCCTCTGCCGCCACCTCCTACTGAGGATATGCAGTAATAGCAAAAATAGCCAAGCATGTACATGCTGTATTGCAATTTCAGCAACTATAGAGTTACCATGTGTTTGGGTTTTCCTGGACATATCCTCCTTTTGGGTCACCCCAGCTCCGTACAGGCAGGGTTTTTTTAAATATCATCAAAGTCCAGGATTTTGTTCTGCTCAGCATCCAAGTTTTTTCCCAGCACTTCGCAGCTTTCCCTGAGCTGCTTGGGGATGGAGGGAGCTGGGGGGGCAGGGAGGTGATGGGGAGCAGGGAGCATGATGTGCGTCTGCGCGTGCACATGGATGGCATGCAGCCAGGCAGGGTGGTGGGATCATCCCTGGCAGCTGCATGCAGGTTAAGTCTGTGTGGGTGAGAGGGTGGCATGTGTGGATGTGTGGCAGGGGTGTGTGAGGGTGGCGGGTGCCTGCTGGCATTGGGGGAAGCTATCTAGATGCTGGGGCTGCAGCAGGGCAAGAGGGAAGGTGCCTGCCCCTCCAACGGGGGAGGAGATGGGGGCCTTCAGGAGCAGGTGGGAGCTGCATAGTCAGGCTGTCCGCACCAGGGCCTGTGCCTGTGCTTGCAGAGGCAAGGCAACTGGGAGATGCTGCAGGGCTGGGGGAAGTGAGGGGTATCAACAGGGACAGGGGGGCTACGGGTTGGGAGTGAGGGGCACCAGTGTTGTGTGTCTTCTTCCCTGAAGGTGTTCATAGAGCAACACAAAAAGACTCTCAGATTCCCAGGGGAATACATTTCCAGCCTCTACCTCCCCTGTGCAAAATGGGGTTTATTTTCTACCTAGGAGGACTTTCACAATCTTTGAA